CGCCGGCCTCCCCCGGGTCTCGTCGGGCCTGGCGCGGCCGCTTAACCCCTTGGCTCCCGGCAGTGCCGCCGCCCGGTCCGCGGAGCGCGGGAAAGCGGGAGCGGACGGAATCGCGCCGCGCGCCGGGAGATGCGGCCGAGAAGCCCGGGCGGCGCGGCCACCTGGACCCGGACGGGACGGGACGGGACGGGACGGGACGGCGATCGGAAACACCGCAGGGACTCCAGTGCTGGAAATGTTTAGACAGCAAACTTTTCCAAAGAAAAGGGCCGTTTTACACAAGTATTCCTGGGACAAGTCCCTCCCTCGCGCGGCTGCCCGAGGACTCTCTGCAGCCCGCCCGCGCTGCCACCTACCTTGCTCCGCTCTGGTCATAAAGTCCTCGGCCTCGGTCGGTGCGGCCCGGGGGCGCGACGGCGGTGTACGAAGTCAGGTAATGAGAGATCAGATGAATTTGAGGCGACCGGCCAGAAAAAATAAGAAATTTAAAAGCAACATTTAAAAATGTAGGGGGAGTCTTAAATGTTTGGTTCTCCACCCAAAAAAGGGAAATTTTACTAATTTTCTCTTTATTATTTCTGTTGCGCTGTAGTCTTCTGATGATTTTAAAAATTTATCTGAGCTTTAAAAATAAATTAACTTTTTTCTCCAGTCTCCCTACCCCTGATAACGGAAAGTCTACTTTCAAACGAGGGAGAGAGAAAAAGGGAGTGAGGAGGAGAAAGCGAGGAGGGAAAAAGACGAGAGGAGAGAGAGAAAAGAGAGGACAGGGAGAAAGACGAGAGACTAGAGGAGAGAGAAGGGAGAGGAGAGGGAGCCGGTGAGACCGGAGGGCCGGCGCGGCGTGCACAGTCTGTGGCTGGCTGTTCGAGTCCGGGCTCAGCGGGCTGCGAGGCCAGGGCTGGCCACTTCTTGCAGAGCACGGTTCTCCGCTCCGCTCCCGCGCGCCGCCGCCTCCTCCCGCGCCCGAGGGTCCGGCCCGGAGTTTAATAGGCGCGGGGTGGGCTCGGAGGGGGCGGGGCGGGCAGGCGGGCGGGGCGGGCGCTCGGAGCTCGGCGCCGGCTGGGGCTGGGACGGTGCGCCGGGACCTGGAGAGACCCGCTGCCGGCCCAGCCGGTGGGCAGGGAGTGCGTGAGTGTGAGTGCGCGTGAGTGTGAGCGCGTGTGCACGCGCGCGGCTGCCCCCTCCCCCGGCAGCCCCGTCCCCTCCGGGAGCCTTGCTTCCGCCGGCGCAGAAGTTTGCAGCTGATGCCTTGCCTCCAAGCCGCCTTTCTTCACGAGCTTTCACCGTGGGTGGGCGAGAAAGAAGTCGAAAAATAATTGTATTTCTTGTTCAACTTGGGCCCGAACGTAAAAATACACAGAGCACGTTCAAAACACATGGAATGGGGTGAAAGTCTTCCGCAGGATGGAAAGAAGCGTTACAACGTGCGCCTGTGTGCAGTGAGCACACTGTACACCGTACGGGGCCATCCCCCAGGAAAGGACGGTGCCCGCTGGGAAGGCGACCATGAAAAGAATAGCTCTCGCCCCGCAACCATCGAGTTTTCATTTTCTCCATCTCTCCCAGCGGCCCGGGATTGAGGGTTCTTCAGTTCCACCCCACCCCCACCCCCGCTGGCTCGCGCCGTAACCGTCGATGACTTGAAGCTGACAGCAGGTGGCAGCGTAGGAGAAAGTGCGCGCCTAGAGGCTAACGTGGTTTTAAGAGACCCTGAAAATACTGTAGGATGAAACAAGAAGTGACTTTCTTTCCTTCTCTTTCTTTCTTTCTTTCTTTCTTTCTTTCTTTCTTTCTTTCTTTCTTTCTTTCTTTTTTCTTTCTTTCTCTTTCTTTCTTTCCTTCCTTCCTTCCTTTTCTTTCTTTAATTTCTTAATTTCTTTTTTCTTTTTTCTCTCTCTCTCTCTCTTTCTTTCTTTCTTTCTTTACTTCCCCTTCCAAAAGTCCACTGAGGTGTGATTACTTTCCCATTCGACCACACCTTAGTTACTGAGTTATTTGTCTGTGATTAGGACCGAATAAAAATTTGGGCGGTAATAAACAGTCAGACAGAAACAGCAAAGTCCCATAAACTGGGGCAGATGCTTTCCACGGGCGTGCAGGGTGTGGTTGGGGGAGATGTAGTTAAGAGTCAAGTAGGGCCCCTAGAGCCAAACCCTGCAAAGTACCCCACCCCTCCTCCCCGCACCCTGGGGAGTTCGCCTCCCAGGACCTTCCCCACCCACCGTTTCTTCCCTGGGGCACCCACTCACCCTTGGGTACTTCCTGGGTCTTGTGCTTGGACTGCACCTAGACACTGGCTTGGGCTTTAAAGCAGTTTCATCTCGGTGGGAATCAAGCTTTCCTGGGCTTTTCTTTTAGGCTTACTGTAATTTAGGATGCATTATCTAATTTCTGTATTATGCCGAATAACAGATTATGTTGATTTACAGGTGAGGTGGAGATGGTGGAAGCCAGTACCTCTGTGTCAGACTCCAGGGGGCTGATGTGACAGGAACCTCAGATCCCTCAGCCTGCGACATTAGAAGTATTTAGAACACATTAGTGCACTATGCGCCTCCTGCCTTATAATTCTTTTATGTTGTTGTTGTTTTCTGTTTTTGTCAGGACTAGGGATTGAACTCAGGACCTTGCACTTGCCAGGGAAACACATTCCACTGAGCCATCTCCTTGGCCTTTATAACCCTTAAATTATCTTTGTAAATGGAGTAACAACATATAGACGGAAGGTTCAGCCTTCTCTCTGCTTCAGAGATTTCAGGCCAGGCTGTTGGCCCCCACAGATCTGGACCTGTGGTAAGGAAGACTGTTTCTTCAAGAGTACACTTGAAGTACTCACTTCAAGCGGTCAGGAAGCAGAGAGAGAGAAAGCCAGCAGTCTCAGGGTGCCCTTCCGCGTGCCACATGGGTGTCGTGCCTTCCCAGCAGCCCCCAGCTGGCGAGCTGGCCAGAGGCAGTGGCTGGAAGCGGCTTCGTTCCTGTCATGTGACCTCACATATGACCTACCTCAGCTCCCAGCTGTCCTCCAGGAGGCTGCCAGAGGCTGTGCCTGTGGTGCATCCCACACATTTTTCTTCTCTGGGTCCTAGGTCAGAATCTCAGCTCTGGACTCACTAGTCCAGATTCAAAAGCACCACCATAAGAGATGTGAGACTCAGTTTATCACCCAGTTAGTATGCTGCCATTCAGGTAATATCAAATTAATATTGCATTGATGACACTTGGAATTATTTACAGCTCGTGTTTCTATCTTAATCATTCTATCCTCAATCCCAAGACGATATCCTTTCATCGATTCTTTTATGTAGTACCAAAACACCCCTTACCCGACCCGTCTCCAATCCTTCACTTTCTCAGCTGTACCAGGCACAGAGTCCACGCGGAAAGCTCTGCCCAAGTTGCTGCAGGCCGGTGGCTCCCTGCAGTCGTGTCCTTGCAAAACATCAAGCAGACATCCTTCGTGCGTGACGGAGTATCTGCAGCAGAGGTTTGGCATCTTTATAATTCTTGTTTATTACGCCTTCAGTAAAGAATTACCTTATGCTCTTAGAAGTTAGTAAAGGCCTCAAAATTACCCTTTTATTTATTCTATGAAAAAAGGTGAAAGACATTTAAAATATTAATTCATTTTAAGTTATAACAAAACCCAAGTATATGTCAACTTTAGTAATATTTTTATACACATTTTCCAAAGTAAAAAAGAAAATAGGCTGGAAAGCAGCGCTGTTGTCTACTTTTGCAAATCGCTTTCATCTCTGGCTTTATTAAAGTTAGCTGTACTCTTAGGTTGGCTTCCATTCCGTTGTTTCGATTTAAATAGACGCAAAATAATTCTGGTCTTACGTAGACATATAATTCAAAATGGAGGAATATTTTATCTTTTGGATGTTCTCTGATAGTACCTTAAAACTTGTGTTGCATCCAAGTTGCCGTGTGGAACCTGAAAGAGCACACATGGGCTTTGCGTGCTGTTATACACAAGCGTTGGTTTGTCTTCCGTCTGCACACTAGGCTTCCGTAGCCAAGTGAGTCCTTTTCACTTGCACTTTCCAGATCCAGAGTGCAGAGTACTGTCCTCTACCTAAATACCTGCACACCCACAGGGATTGTGGACTGAAGTGCCAAGGAAGGGGGCCTTGAAATACCACTGCCTGGCTGGGGAGGGAGCTCAGTGGCATGAGCGTCTGCCTGGAGCTCAAGGTCCTGAGTTTGATCCCTGCTACCATGCAAACAAACAAAGAAGCTCTCATGCATTAAAATATCATTATCCTGTAATAGTTAGTGGTGTTAATTGCTTAAGGGTAATATGTTGAAATTTATTTCTCCACAAGTAATTTAAAGTAGGCTTGGTTGTAGAAACAATTACGTATCCATGGTATGTAAGTAATCTTCTTTGAGCTAACTGCTTGGGTACGTTTTGCCGGGCTGGTGGATCTAAGTGTCCTCACCAGAGTTGTCAGATGGTTAAGGTGACAGAGGTTGCTAGGTCCAGTCTGGTCCTTCCACGTTGAGCTAAAAGCTACAACATTCTTTTGTGTTCTGTAAATGTTTATAGCTCTAATTTGTTACTATACAGTGGAAAAGTAAAAATAATCATAATAATAACCTTCCTTAGAAGTTATGTGGCATTTCCTCTCATTTATGGAATGCTTAACGAACTTTCCAGGTTTTTAAAATATTAAAAGGAAATAATTGCTCAAAACTGATTTCTTATTAGAGAATGTAGCTTAGTACTGCTGTGTGACATTTTTTGATAATTTGAAGAAAAGTAACTACGTACCCAGAGTTGCTGCTATACACTGAGACCTTTGTTGGTAATTTCAGAGGTCTCATACACCTCTCTCTTTCAAACCCATTCACGAACAGATTAAAAATTCCCTAACCAAGAGAAATACCACGCAGTCTTGAGAAGACTGAAATCCTAAATCTTTCTGTTTAGATGCACGGCATAAACTTAAAAGTTTAAAACTTAGGTGGAAGGGGGAATGGCAAGCAATCTCTATTTTTTCCAGTGATTTGCATTCATTCTCTTATTACACATCGAGGGAGAAAGAGTCCTGAGAGAATCTTGTTCATTTTAGGGAAAGCTGTGAATGTAAAACCTTTTTAGCACCCATTGTATTTCCCTTTGTCTAGATTTTGACATCTTATTGTATATTTTTAGGAGAACAGAAAAATTCAAGTTCTATGAAGACCTGTCTCCAAATGCTGTAGGTAGAAGTCTGGGGAGAAGAGCTGAGCCCGTGCAGTCCCAGGTGAGCCGTACAGGCTTCGCTCCAGCGAGGGCTGGCCTCGTGACCAGCACGTCCATGCCAGGGGCTCCTGCAGCGGCTGCTGCCGCCGCCCATCATCACCCATATCCAAATGCCACTGGGAAGTGGGGCTCTCGCTCACACCCCTCTTAAGCGCCCCAATCCAGAGCAGGATACTGTGAGATGAAAGCAGGACTTACACGGCTTTTCAAAGGAATTACATTGTCCTGATTACAGAAATATGTTCATTCATAGAATTTCCTCTG